TTTAGCTGTAGAGTATAGCTTTTCCGAAATTTTCTACCTCCACTTCCTCACTTCCCTTCTTTGAAATAACCCAGAATTTGCGCTTCGAAATTTCTCCTATCCATCATTCGCAAGTGTTCCAATTTCCACAAACTAACTTCCAAGTATTTAAAAAAAAATCTTTTCCGTACGATATACGAAACTTCACGAAATCCATTTCAAGCGTAACTCACTCGAAATTTGTTACAGACATTCCATAACGTCGTCGTAGCCGCCTGCAGCAGATCTTCCATTCGTTGTCCCTCCGTGTCCGCCTTCAATTGGCGCGATTTCTGCTCGTTCATTTGACGACTCAATTTTTCCATTTCTTCAGCATTTCTGACATACACGTTTGTCCAATTAAAACCTCCGAATCGCAAGGTAAAGAAACAGCAACGAACGTCGATGAAGAGGGGGAGAACTTACTGTTCCGCGTTCTTCATCTCCGAAAACTTTCTGGTCTCCATCTCGGCGATAAGTTCTTGCCTCTGCTTTTCTAAGGCCATTTTCTCGTGCTCCGTGGCCACCCGCATTTTCTGCAGATTATCCTTGGTCGCCCGCTGACCCAGAAACCGGTTCAGAACGTCCTCGGACCTGGTCGCTCCAGTGGCGCTGCGAAGCTTGGCGAACACCTCTTCCAGTCGTGTCACCTCGTCCTTGGTAATGTCCTCTGTCGACTGTATACGGCTTTTCCCACGTGTGTCGAAATCATCTCGCGGACGCGAATGGAATATCATCTTTTCCATCCGTTCGAGTTCCGTTTTTCGTTCCAATACGCGTTGCCTAATCGTAATCCACTTTGAGCCTATTTGTCGCCAATGAATTATACGTATATTGTTGCTTGTACTTTGCAGATGTTGTATTGCAACGATCGATCAAATCTTGGGAGACCGGCTGGGTCAAAAATGACCCATTAGCGAGTTTTTAAGAGAAGTGAATAGTATTATAGTGTGCAACCTTCTGGATTTCTTTGCTGCATTTATACTTCTATTTTGTTCTTTATTTTATTTTATTAGCAATCAGAATAAATTTCTATGAGCCAGTTTGCTAACTTGGGTGCTGTTTTCAGCACCTCTTAAAGCTTGATGAGAACTCGTCCATTGACGAGGCCTCCTTAACCGTCAATTTGGTCTGTTGGCCATGTGTCGATATGAATCTAATTTTTCAATCATCTTTTAGTTACATGAAAATTCACTTTTGGAAAATCGCTAATAAGTCGTTTCTAGTGTTAGGGATATTTTATTTGATAAATATTGTGGCGGTATGTTTTATGTTTTTTTGTTTTAATTTCAATGCAGAAAATTACTAAGTGAAGGGACACTGCTTTGCTCTTCTTAAAAATTCAGAAATACATGTTAGTTTGTTTCAAGCAGTTACCTTAAATAATTTGTTTAGTCTCGGTACAGAAAGTAATTTTTTAAACGATTCATTACTTTACGTTCTACTTTCCATTCAATATTTCAAACAAAATAATATTCGTTTGTTCAAACCTGTATTCTTCATGCACAGCATGGCGCTCTTTACTAGAATTCGTCACCTCAATTTCTTCTTTTATCAACGTTTCCAGCATATTATCTTTCAATGTAATAGCTTCCTCCTTCACACCCTGTAAAAAAAGAACGTATTTACATCGACTTTACATTCTTTCTCGAAGCATAAAATTTCACTTCGTTAATTCAATTCATTCCTTGCCTGAAGTCGTTTAACTTCATTCTCTTGCTCCCTCATTTCGTCCTCCAAACTCTTCAAAGAAGATGCATAAAGCACAGATTTCTCTTTCAAATCGGCATGCATGGATCGATACTTCATCCGTGCAATATTAGCTTTAATCTGCATCATTCTGGTGTGCTCCAAACGTACTTCGAGCTTAACAATTTTCTGTGTGAACAGAAACATGATAGATTCTCTGACAATATACAGGGTGGGCCACCTAATTATCTTCTCTAACTACGGTGAGCAATTTAAATGGTTTCAAAGGGTGCATAAGATAAAAGGAAAATTTTTTCCTTTTTTACACAAATTGGACTCTAAAATTTTAAATCAAATGTCAAACGCTTCCTTTCATATTTTGCCATTTCTTCCATCTAATTCACCCCTCGAAACCGTTTAAATTACGCGAGAAAAACTGTTCTCTTACCGCCATAATCAGAGAAGATAAATAGCCCACCCTGTATATATCCTGCAGTGATCTCTTTTGGTCTCATTGTTCTAACTCACGTTTCTCAACGGGTTCTCCGTCTTCTTCTTAAATATCTTCTGCATCTTATCGCTCATTAATTGACCATATTCCTCCAGTAGCAAGTGTAATCTTTGCTGTCGCTAAGAATTATTTACGCTCGGATATGGTTATACATTCACGCGGAATAGCCTTCAAGAGATTACTATCTCGCTGCTCACCTTCTTGCGCTGATATTTAATTAGATCGTACTTCTTTCTTAAGCGTACATTGTCCTCTTGCGCTTTAGCAATAGTTTCATCTAAATTGCGTTTTTTCTCATAAGCCGAACACCTCCGGATTATGCGAACTTTGCTCTCCGATTTCCCTTCGTTCTGAAACACACATGACGCAAAAGTGTACGCAAACGGAAACCGATTTTTCGCGATTCTAATTCACGGTTGGCAAAAAAAATTGACAATTACATTTTGCACGTTCGCGTATTCCACGTAAAGCTCTTTGATGCTTTGCTTGAGCGTCGCGATCTTCTCCGTGTATTCGTGTTTCTTCGCTTCGTATTCCTCGAAATTCGCTTTTCTTTGTCCCTCTGCAATGCATACATACACTCTTCGTTATTAACACATCTTACATCGCATACGATGCCCGATAGCATCTGTTCCTCGTCTAGGAAGACTTATGAATAAAACGTTCCTACCTATTCTCTATATAGGATTTACCTGGCCGAGGAATGTTGTTTCGCATCGAGATGCAACTCTATTTGTCAATATCGTATGAATAATGTTCGACGAATTTCAACTTTACGCCGCCTCTGGCTAGCGGAATCGTGCATGTCTGCGGCACGTTCATCGAACGGGGAGAAAAATTCGTCGGAAATGAAAGGAACGATAAAGAAGAAAGCGTGTAGGTTTAAAGGGGAGAAAAGCGCGGAATAATTTACAACGCGGTGCTGTTTTACGTTCCGCTATCTTTTCACGTGAAAACAAACATCTATGTCAAGCGAAATTTAATCGGTTTTTCATTCTCTCGAATGATAAACAAAGGCAACGATTAAGCTATAAAAGGAGATAAAAAGATTTCTATAATAATAGCCGAGGGATAGAATAAACGAAAGTCGTGACTAAATTGTGGGTTGCGATAGATCAAGCCACGGAGTCATGATCAACGTATTTTGCATGTACACCTTAAACAAACTAAATTGCCCAAATTACCTAAATTGACGTCACGATTTTCCTCGAAAAGTGACTTTGTTCAAGGAAATTCGATAATAGTAGGTTGCTCGTTGTCCTTTTAAACGATTTCAGGGAGGAATTCAGGAGACGTTAATTATGGTGCCTCTTAATTGGCGAACTAGAATCACAACGATAAGATCTACTTTATCAAATATTCGTTATCGTTAAATAATTCTTCTAGTCTATTATTCATATATATTTTTTTTAATTGAGTTTTAACGTCTCATCAGCTGCTCGTGTATTTTATTATAGAACATTAAATCCCTTAAGAAAGAATATTTTCAGTATTTGTTGACGATCACCGAGATTTTTATTAATTTCGAATCTGGAACGAGCCTCCGTATACTTAGGGCAGTTTAAAAGAATAAGCTTTAGGGTTATTTCATATTTGTAGGCCCAACTTACTTCACTTATAACACCAAACAGTGATTTACACTTCCGGTGAATTAAATCGAACTATTTAACGAAACATCTTTATCGAATATTTAATACGAACAGTTACGTATAACTAACGACATCGTTTATTCGATTTGCCGAATATATATATGTCGATAATCAAGTTGAAGGTGAAATAAAGCGATGGCTATTATTATTTAATACGGAGAAGTTGCGAAAGGCTACGATTAGGTTCGATTAGAAGAGATATAATGGAAAAAGCGACTGGAATGATTTTAAGCTAGGAAATAATATTTTATACGAATCCACGAGACCACGACCCGAAGTGATACTTGCTAGGCTACGTTTAATAGAAACGCTCACTGGAATATTCATTTTATAATTAACATTTTGATAGCAGTACATCGATAAGCCGGTAGAAATTTCCTTTTTTCTTCGACCAGCCGCTTATGTGACACGAACGTTCCTTTCTGAACTTCTAGTCTTTCCGGTTAAACGTGTTCTTATGTATCTTCATATGCAATCAGGAACTCGCTTGGGAAATAAACGCTAGGGAATCGTTTTTTTTTTTTTCTTTTCGAAAGAACGACAGTATGCGAACGGTAGCGTAGCAAATATACGAATGTGAAACCAGATTAAGAGAACAGATATTAGTGGTGTCGTTAAATTCGTCAATTTACCTGATAACTGGATCTTCTTTCTAATTTCTGCAATTTTTTTATTCAGATCGTTCAATTTGTTTTCTATAGTAGGTGCTAACGGATCGGACATGATTTCACGGAAATACTTGCAGATTCGTGAGTATTGACTGAATAATACCTGGCGTTACCCTGACGACGATATCATGTGGGAATTCACTTCCTGATGTCATGCGCAATCGTGTAACTTATAACAGGTATTAAATATGTGATTTTTTGATCACATAAAAGAGTACATCACCCCGAGGAGACTAAAAATAGGTAAAAGTTTGAGAATTTTTTTCGGTAGGTAACTGGTAGTATTGTTACTTTTTAAAAATTAGGGTAGATAGTTGAATGTTACATTTATATCCTCTTAAAAAATTGGAACTTTTCATTCGGTAGTTACCTATGAAAAAATGACCAAAGTTTACCTATTTTTAGAAGCCTCAGCTTTGTGTACTTCCTTAATTTCCACTGATCTATCCAATTAAAAATATTCAACAGTTGCACGCAAATAGATGATGATAAATATAAAATATTTGAAACAAAATGATAATAATTATAGCCTTACATTTCAATTAAAACGAATTTTTCATTCTCCGCCAATAAAGTCCATTTATTCCCCCCTCTTACAATTTCTATTTTCTAATGGCTGTTTTCCTATATAAATGATGCGCGCGCAACAGTGCTCTTGATGGCGTAATATTTTGCGCGACAACGCGTCGCTCGCAGATGTTTGAGGTTCGATGATAGGGTTAATCATTCCATTAATAAAAACTAACGACCGCCTCGTATTTACAGTTTCGTGCGTGTATCTCGCATGCTCGGGAACACAAAGGGGAAAGCAATTCGTAAGGCTTCGTCTGTTGAATGGACTTAAGGAGAGGGCACCGAATTATAATTCCGCATTTGTATTCGTTAAGGCAGCAGCCGCGCCTGGCGGCGGCTATGCTGGCGATGAATTTCGCGTTACACGCAATCAACCGCTGGAAGGTTAATTAATGATCAGACATGCTTGGCCAGTACTCGACGGGCCTCATACACATCGGCGTCTTGGCACTTTATAACTGACCACGTTCGTTGCGTTCCGTTTGCCGCTTGAATTCTAGAGAAGCGTCACGCGCGACAGTGTTAGATTTCAATCCGACCGGGAATCAGGGATTCGATTCGCATTTACGGCTCGAATTCGTGAAACCGAGTGAAAAACAACCAACGACAGCTCGAAAAGAAGAAAACGAAAAAAGGCAATCTGATCGAGTCGGTGTAACACGTGCGGGTGGTGTAATTAACAGCCTTGATAACGAGACAATTAAGTCACTTTCGTTATGTTGTTCTCTGGCACGCAGTGCAGCACAGGGAAAACAGGAAATTGATTAAAAGTTTCTATCTCGTTAAAGATTTACAACGCCACGTAGGAATAATAATGATTGAATGCATTAAATAAGAAATAAAGCTTATTAATACAGAACTGTGAATTCTTTTGTCTGTGCTTTCGAGATGTTTAACCTATAAATAACGCGCCAAATTTTATGTAAATAAAACGTACTTGCATGTAGTAATATTTATTCTAAATACAATACACGTGTTAATCATAACGTTATTTAACGCTGCAATGTTAATGCAAACTATTTAAAATATCAAATCACTTAATAAATCAAAATCATGAAAAACTTAGTGTTGAACAAATTCTCTTGTAGCCAGAAGTGTAATAAGTGCGTACTACGGCAGCATTCTCTTGTAGCTGAATTCTTATTGGCTCGCGCGGTCAGCCATCCCATGGTGGCGTAGTAATACAGACGTTGGAGGCAGGTGCGCGCGCATCGGGGAACTACTTTCAGCGCGTTAAGCGAACAATAGGGATCCCAGAAGTGTTTCGGACGCGGTCGTGTTCGTATACGGTTGCCGCATACTTTTTTCTCGTATTGCCTCGCGTGAACGTGTATACACTTTTGCTGGACGTCTCGGAGGTGACATAGATTTCGGACGATGTGCGTGGTCAAGTGACGGTACGCGGATTTTATACTGAAGTGCACCGAAGTGTTGGTTCTCTCTAGTGTGTGCGCCCGGGCCCCGATGAGTGTGTGTCTACTCGATGTGTGTGGATAAAATTCACGGCATCATGTTGCCACGACGAAAATTGGATTACGCATCGATGGCGTGTCTCCTTCTACCCCTGTTCGTACTTGTTTCCCTTCCCGCGGTATCCGGTAAGTCTAATAATGCATTTATTCTCAACATATTCTATCGAGTTCTCTTTGGAATTAGTTTGAAGTCGTTGTTCGCCACATGTCGCTGCTAGGCAACAGGTCACGAAACAACGCTAAGCGCCGGCGCGTTGGACGCTTGCACGTTAAC